ACGGACTTCTGCCATCAGCAAGCATCCACACCCACCCACCAACCCACATTGGCGGCTGAAGCACTTGTTTGCCCAACAAGGCTCTAAAGCACCAGCCCCTGGCGAAGCCAAGCGCGGAGGAAGCAGGGTGCCTACTAACGCTCCAGCAAGCAGCTTCCAGATCGCACCCTTGGGAGTGGATTGGGTGGGGAGGGGAAGAAATAGTTTCTCGGAGACTCATCTACCTCCAGCAACAGAGAGATAGAGAGGGGGGGTGCTAAGAGGAGGCACTTTGCCAGCCGTCTGAAAACATTTCTTTTGCTTGGATTCAGACAGTTTTTTTCCCCCTTCCGGGAGAATATTTGGGGGCGGGGGGGGGGGAAGTGTAATTGACTGCCTCTGAACTCAGCTCAAGTGTACCCTGTTCCCAGAAACCAGGCATGAGTCAGGGTACACTGAATTCCCTCTCCGCGCAGCAGCATTTTGGCCCGAGGTAACCCTCCCCGTTCTCTGCTGCAGGTGGGTGGCATCGCTGCCACAGCCGGGGGGGGGGGCAGGCACCCCATGCCTGCTGGAGAAGGCTGGCGAGGGAGAGAGAGCACCAGCTTTGCCAGGGAGGGAGGGGAGTCTTTCCTCGTTCAGCCACCATCCAAGGTCATCCGGGCCCCCCGGAGAATACCCTTGAAATGTGCCAGGCAAGTTTGCTCTGCTAAAGCAAGGAACAAACAGTGGGGGTAAGGAGAGAAAATTGGACGACAACCCACCCCCCCCTTAACCACCCTGTTCAAGTTCTGGTTAGAATGTTGATAAGATCCCGCTGGGAGGTTTTGTTGGGTTGGGAGCCAGGGACCAAAAACATCCACAGCCGCGAACTGACGTTTTAGTGACCTGGGGTGGGGAGCCTGCCATTCCTTGGGAATCATTCCCCCCTCCTCCACAAGGATACCAGGTCTTGCCCTCATTCACACATGAGGATGAGATGGTAGAAATGCAAACTGGAAAAGGGAAAAAAAACACATCTGCCGGTATAAAACTAAGCACTGCAGGGAAAGAAGCTCCGCTCCATTGCTAGGCTGGTTTTCTTTTGCCATTTTTTTTTTTGGGGGGGGGACAATTCCAAAATGGGCTCCTTCAGCTGCAGTCTGGAATGAGGTCATCCAGCCCAGCGCTATGTAAACCAGGCTAAGAAACAGCACGCCAGCACAGAGCTGTCAACCTACCTCGCAGGGCTGTTGGGAGGATAGAACAGAAGCCGCTTTGGGTCCCCACTGGGGAGTGAGGTGAGGCATACCAGTTTGGGGTGGTGGTTAGGAGCGCAGACTCTGATCTGGAAAAACCGGGTTTGATTCCCCACTCCTCCACATGCAGCTGCTGGCGTGACCTTGAGTCAGTCACAAGTTCTCTCAGAGCTGTTCTCTCCAGGGCAGTTCTCAAGAGAGGTCTCTCAGGCCCACCTCTACCTCACAGGGTGTCTGTTGTGGGGAGGGAGATTGTAAGCCGCTCTGAGAGGTAGTGAGGGGCGGGGTATAAATCGAATTCCACTTAAAGGTGTTGGGAGGGTGCTTCCCCCTCCCCCAGAGAACTCCAACTGGCGCTGGTCCCAATCCAAACCCCCTCCTCCTTTTCTTGTCTCTCTAGCAGTTTAGCAGGGAAAAGAACCTGCAAGGAGCTGGAGGCCGGATCTCCCTTCCTCCACCGATGCCAATCCCCAGGTGAGGCCTGGAAATCTCTCAGAATGACAACTGATCTCTGGATCAGCTCCCCTGGAGAAAGTGGCTGCTTTGGAGGGTGGACTCTATTATACCCTGCTGGGGTCCCTCTTCTCCCCATCTCTCCCTGCCCGAGGCTCCACCCCCTCTCCCAACCCAGAGTTTGCAACGCTTGGTGAAACTCCTTAAACCCACTCCTCTTCTCCCAATGCGGGGAGGGGGGAATAACCTACCCACCCGGCTCAAAGGAAGTAAGAGGAATGCATGACGCAAGCGACCGCAAGCATGAATGAGGGGCGTGGCACCCTCTCTCCTCCCCCCCCAGCAACTGGCAGGGCCTCTACCTCTCCATCCTGTGCAAAGAGAATTGCTGCCAGCCGATCAGCATACAACTGGCATGTGTGGGGTAAGGAAGAGGAGACCGAGAACACAAACGCCAGCCATTTCCCCCCCCTCCTGCAAGGTGGGCTCCCCCCTCCAGGATACACCACGGGGTCGCTCCCCCATACAATACCTTTCAAAGCGCTCAGGCGTCAAAACTGTCTAAAGGGGAGGAGGTCCTCTTTTGGGGGTGCCGTCAGGCAGTGTTCCCTCTAAGCTGAGCTAGTGTGAGCTAGCTCACAGTTCTTTAGCTGCCGGCTCACACATTTTTGTCTCGCTCAGGAAGGAGGGCTCCAGAGCAAACTGATTTATGCAGCAGCCAAACTGCTCGCTCCCCATTTTAATGCCAGTAGCTCACAAAGTAGGATTTTTGCTCACAAGACTTCACAGCTTAGAGGGAGCATTGGTGCCGTTTGGACCCCCGGCTAACCAGGTCACGGCTCTTTCCCATCCCAACACGCTCCCCCCCCCATCGTTGTCCCCCACACACACACCCTGCACCGAGAATGTCGCAAGGGCCCTGGAAGGAATGTTACGGCTGACAACTGGAGACGCATAATCAAAGCCAGCCTTGCCACAGACAGATGGCGGGGCTGGCGTGCCCCGCACAACTCCTCACCCCCCTCCTTCCCGAGGCATCCCTGCCTTCAATAGGTTAGCCCCCCCCTTCTTTATGCAGCCGATGGTCCCCTGGGCTCTGTGGAGGAGAGAGCACAAAATTAAGACCCTCCCCCATCCCTTCTCGCACAGACGCAGGGAAGCAGTCTCCAGCGGCTCCCCCCCCCTCCCAAGGCTTGGTGGCTTCCTTCCTTACAAAGACTCTTTCTTCCCCCTCCTCCCAGGCAAGCAATGAGGCAGCAAGAATTTTAAGCAGCCCAGTGCCCTTCTCTCCCCCCACCTCCAGGATTCCCAGCATCCCATGTGGGATTGTCACAACCCCTGGCATATCCCTCATGCCTCCCCCACTACAGGGTGGCTCTATTATGCAGTTAGAAGTAGGCAGAAGAAAGCCAAAAAACAAAAAAAAGATCACAGTGACCAAAAGTCAAAGGATAGGGTGTAGAATTAAAGGGGGGGGGATTTCATAGATCGAGGCAGCTTTCGAGGGTGCCAACAGGAGATGGGGGGGATGTCCCCCACCAGTGTTCCCTCTAAGCTGAGTTAGTGTGAGTGTGACAGTTTCTTAGCCTCCGGCTCACCCATTTTTGTCTCAGCTCAGGAAGGGAGGGCTCCAGAGCAAACGTGATTCATGCAGGAGCCAAATCGCTCGCTCACAACTTTAACGCCAGCATTTTTGCTCACGAGACTCACAGCTGAGAGGGAGCACTGTCCTCCACTACAGTTTCATTTCCTCTCTCTCCCCCTGCCCGAGCCCAGTCAACTTGACCACCGGGTATCGCTTTACAAATCTGATATCTATCCAGCCCGGTAGGCCAAGAGGTCACTATGTATTTAAGAACCAGAATGTTAATTAAGATCCTAATTAGTACAGAGGGGAGAGGCACAAAAGGAAGGCTGCGCAAGACCCCACTGCTTCGAAGTGCTAGAAACAAAAGAAGCCCAAATTGAGTCCCCCCCCCAATCCCTATGATGGGGGGAGGGGCCGACAGGCAGCAGTTTCCCCTCTCTCCTTCCGTACCAAATCCACACCAAGTAGCCATCTTCTACAATGGAGGGCAGGGAGAAGAGGGCAGCGACAAAAACACAAAAGCCTCCCAAACGTCTCCAAGCGTCCATGATCAAGCACAAGTGTAAAGGAGATAGGGTTCCACCCCATGACGGCCCAGCAAGCATCTTTGTTAGCAGGAAATAGGGGGTCTCGCAATTAATTACTGTTAATAAAAACATGAATTCCCCTTTCTTAAAAAACAAACAAACAAACAAACCCAAACCTATTCGCTTTTGTTCTATGGTGCAGTCCAATCCACCTGGAGATTTTTATTTTTTTTAAAAAGAGGCCTCTCTCTCTCTCTCTCTCTGGGTCATGGAGTCTCATTCAGTTGTCCAATTACAACCCATCCCATGCCAATTCCGCGCAGATGTTGAAAAAAGAAAGAAAAGCAGCATTTTGGTTTGGGGAAAGCAACAAAGAGCTCCTGTCATTGGGGGATGGGTGGAGGGGTGTGTGTGTGGAAACACACAGATCAGACCCTTTCGACTTGCAGCTGAACATTTCTAGAGATGTGCCTGCATAAAAGGTCAGTACCAAAAAGAGTAGCTACCAAAACCAATACACAAACCAACCAGACAGACAAAAACCTCACATGCATTATACATGGAATAAAAAACTGCCCCAGATCAAGCATTTAAAAGGCTGACGGATTTCAGGGAATATATTTACATTGGTGCTCAACCCACCCACCCCCGTTCAAAATCAATGGGATTTAAGAGTCTTTCACTTGTTTATACACAATTTAAGGGGGCCAGATCCAGACACATTTCCAATGCACACATTTCCTCCTCTCTCCCTTACAAAGGGTACAGACCTTAGCCCCCCCCCAAAGTGTATCACAGCTCAATGGGTGGTCAGAGACAACCTTCCCTGCCCTCCTCAACCAACCACACCATGCCAATAGCGGCCCAGATAGGAGGTGCAAAGAAATAAACCAGAGTGGGGGGGGGAGAGAATGTCTTGACCTTCCATGACCTTCATAAAGCACACCAGTTTCAAGTGAACAGCGACTCCCTATGGACTAGGACCTTGACACAGCTGCATGTTGCTTTAACATAAATATATACATATTTATGATCCAGGGGAAACCATGATTTTTAGAACCACCTTTGCCACTAACCCAGCCCCCATAACCACATTTATTTCATTCACCCTGTTGTGGTTTTTTTCACGCCTCTCTCCTTCTCCCTGGGAGAAAGTTAACACGGGTGGTCAAATCTACCATGTCCCCTCCCCCACAAAAACGCGAGTGGTCTTACCTGAGTTTCTGTTAAGCTTTCCAAAGCCTGCATTACGGACTGTTCGGGCCTGGATGCTTGAGACTGTGAAAGAAAGAGTGGGGAGGGGGTGTGTGCAAAAATTAGGCTTGCTGTTTGCCTAATCGCCTAGGGCGAGTAAAGAACCTGTTCTAGATGACCAAGACAAGGAAGCTTGACAAAAGTCCCATGTTACTTAAAATGCTGGCTGCTTTGTAATTTGTGGATCTATTTGAGAAGCAAAAACAAAATACAGGAAGACATGACCAGGGTGAGGACACCGCCCCCGCATTGGTTTTACGTTTTCACTGGTGTGTGCATGCCCTGCATTTCACTCAATGCACAAAGCCAGCGCCAGCAAACAGCAATTTATGCCATGGACTACAAAAGAGCAGCCTGTGGCAATGGTCCATTCACATATGCAGGTTATCAACTGATAAAGAAGCATATGTGAAGGAGTCCTCCTTGGGTGTTAAAAAATAAAACAGGCTCTCTTCCTTTTGTCTCTGAGTTACTTGCTTACTACATAAAACATAGACTTGGGGAGGGGGGTGTTACCCTAGTAGATCACACACCTCTTTTAGGGAAATAGGTATGGGGAGGAGAGATTTTAAGGGGTGGGAAAGCACTCACTTACCATCAAGCCTGCTTCCACTGTCGGTACCAAAGTCAACTTGCTTCCTTCCGCGACCCCCAGATCTTGCAGCTTGCCCGAATTAAGGTGACTGGTGAAGGGAGAAGGGGAAAAAAATATAGCATGACTTTGCCGAATGTCTATTCGATCCAAAGGGCTTCCTTAATGCAAATGGCAGGCAAACTATTCTTGGGGAAATATTATGGAAGGAGGGAGGGAGGCTTGAAACACAAATAAAAGATTCACTTTCCTGTTTCCCTGAGCACAAAGGTCCAACATCTCCCCCCTTTCTCCCTCCCCATCCCTCCCACACTCACCCCCCTGCTTCCCCTCCCCCTCCCCCATGTCTCTCCCCTTTCCATTCCTTCTGTAAACATCATATCATAAGTCTCTCCCTCCCTGCCTCCAGACAGAACTGCTGATCTGCAGTCATCTGTCAAGAAACTCTCTTTCCAAACTCTCCAATTGGGGAATGACAAAGCCAGGCAAGCCCAAAGGGCTTGGAGCCTTCTTTTTTTCCCCTAAAGAAGTAATCTGGAAAAAAATCCGTCAGCAAAATCTACTGAAAATTATGGATGGGAGAGGGAAAGAAAGAATGGGGAACATGTGGGGGGGATTTTTCTTTTAACTTGATTCAAAGCATTGGGAGGAAGACAGGCAATTCAGCACTCAATGCAAATTTCTTTTTAAAAAAAGCTATTGGAATTAGAAACTATATTTGCCTGCTATAATACAGTCAAAGGATTTCCTCCACTGGTGGTGGGGACAGAGAGGATATTCCAGGTCTTACCATATAAAAAAGGAAACCTGTTTTGCATCTTAAGAACTCTCTTCTCTGACAAAGCTAGGGGGATTTGTTTAAACAAAGGGAGAGGCCCATCTAGGTGAAATACCCCCCCATCCTGACCCTTCAATGCCATTGTTGCCATAAGATATTTTTTCCTCCCTCCCTACCCACAAAACAAAGAAAAGGAAACCAAGTCTTCCTTTCGCAGCATCCTTCACAGGAAACCCATTTATTATTTTTCTTTATTTAACGATGCATGGAAAGAGCCCTTGTGCACAGACATACCGGCCGGCTAAACAGATCCCACCTACAGAACAAAGGAGACCTCCAGGAAAGGAAGAGGTAAAGGTCAGAAAATGGGGTTTGAAATCCTGGGTAGATTTCCTGTAACCCCACCTTCACTGAGGTCTGAGGAAAGGACAGTCGTCCCTATTTCCTTCCCTTCCAAGAGGGTCAATGATAGATTTTCCACTCTAGGGAGGAAAAAGATCAATAAGTTGCAGTAATAGAGGCATGTCTTCCCCCCCCCCACATCTAGGTGAAATACCCCCCCATCCTGACCCTTCAATGCCATTGTTGCCATAAGATATTTTTTCCTCCCTCCCTACCCACAAAACAAAGAAAAGGAAACCAAGTCTTCCTTTCGCAGCATCCTTCGCAGGAAACCCATTTATTATTTTTCTTTATTTAACGATGCATGGAAAGAGATACTGTGCAGCGCTTGTGCACAGACATACCGGCCAGCTAAACAGATTCCACCTACAGAACAAAGGAGACCTCCAGGAAAGGAAGAGGTAAAGGTCAGAAAATGGGGTTTGAAATCCTGGGTAGATTTCCTGTAACCCCACCTTCACTGAGGTCTGAGGAAAGGACAGTCGTCCCTATTCCCTCCCCTTCCAAGAGGGTCAATGATAGATTTGGCACTCTAGGGAGGAAAAGATCAATAAGTTGCAGTAATAGAGGCATGTCTCCCCCCCCC